TGAATTGTTCATTTGATGCCCTAACTATTGTCAAAATGTGATAATATTTCCAGAAAAACTTTCCAAGAGTTACAATGAATAGTGCTTAATTGGTAGTTAGTAATAGGATTGATGATTGGGTATCAGTGAGCACCATATTTATTTCTCCTTATCAGCATACCCTGTCCACTTGTTTTAAATCAAAAAGGCTCTTGATCAGGGGTGTCAAACTCAATTTCATTGAGGGCCGCATCAGCATTGCGGTTGCCCTCGGGGGGCGGGGGTGTGTAGCCAGGGTGAGTGCGGCCTACTGGGTGGGCATGGATGGAGTGGGTGTGGCCTACTGGGTGGGCGTGGCCAGCTCTACATCGTTCGCGTCAAGGGTGCCTGTGGGGGCCTGGGCAGGAGTGGGACAGATCTGAGGGTCTCTGGCAGAAGGGGGTGAGACCAGGGCAAGTGCCAAGACATGGTCCACTGGAGGAGTCTCACTGTTCCTCTCAGGCCATGCGGGGGGCTGGATGGTGGCGCGGGCTGCCCGGAGCCCTGGGCAGCAGAGGTCAAAGGCCCAGCCTGGCCCTCGAGCATCTGCGGCACCAAGCCATTTCCAGATGGCCTTGTGGAGCTAAGACTGAATATGTTTCAGCATAGATGGCCACCACAAAATTGTACATTGGCTCCTGGCTGGCCTGGGCCAGGGCCAAGGCAGCGGGGGCCGTTCCCTCATTGTTTCCAGGATGGCTTCGCGGGACACATGAAACCACTTCGCGGGCCGCATTTGGCCCACAGGCCTTGTGTTTGACATGTCTGCTCTTGATGGATACAGCATCAATTTTCTTCCTCTACTGATCAAATTCTTCAACTGTGTATAATACCAGTGCAAGACAATTTATTTTCCATTCAGATTCCTGTAACTGTTGCAACACGATCAGAATCAAAGCAAAATGCTGAAGTGCACATGCTGCAGTATTATTAATGCTCTGTGCTGTGCTTATTGAACATGTGATGTGGGCAGGCTTCTTCACAACAGTCTTTATAGTCTATATTTTTTTTTACTAGGAATGCAGGAAGGCTTTGGACTTTTTAAATTTTCTCATTAATTGAATGATCAGTCCTTTTTGAACTAAAGAGAAGAGAAGAATGTAATTACCAACCTTCATAATTTTTCAGAGTTCTCAGTTCAAAAAGCATTTGAGAATGTACTTATAAATATGTCTCAGGAGAAATATATTAGAAGGACTTATTTACATGCAAATATGTGGGTTTTTTTAAAAAAAAATAATAATGGTAGGATAATATGGAAACAGAAAAGAATAGATGCATTTATTAGTGCAGATCAGAAACAGATTTTTGGTTTCTTATGATTTGATCAAGAACATTAGGTGCATTCAGCGTGAATCATTTAAATCACACAGCAATAAAATTTGTGTCAACAGACTTCAAAGATGCCTGCCTGGAAGGCCCCTTATTTAAACTGATAACTGCATAATGGTGGTGGCAATGGCTGTTACGTACTGAACAAACATTTTCCTTACGAAAGAAATAATTTTAGTAACATCTATACTATTGAGTATTGAAAGACCATGGACTGTCTTGAACATTTACAGCTATTTTTCTCTATATATATTACTGCAAAGTTTTAAGTGGAAACATTTAATGACTTATTCCAAATGACTTATAGGAGAATGTTGAAGGGGTGCAATGTGACATGTGCCGTTCAGGATCGTTTTATCTGGACCCTGCTAATCCCAAAGGTTGTACTACTTGCTTTTGTTTTGGAGCAACCGATATTTGCCACAGTACAAATAAACGTAGAGTCAAGGTACGCAATGCTACATATTTTTTTTCCCTTTGGAGGAGACTACTGGATCAGATAGATGAATATCTGTGATTGGATTTTTGCTTTGTATGTTAAAAGCAGTGATGTGATTGAGACTGAAATGAGCAGCAGACCTCTGACTGTAGGGTGGCCAGGGGTTGAACTGGCTGCACACAAATCAGTGGTGGCTTTCCAGGTCCCATATCTGTTCATGCTAAGAGCATTACTTTTAATCTTTAAAAAAAAAAGCATGACAGAAAGACTTTTAGTGGTCATTAATACTGTTCCATTTTCTCTCTTTGTTCTGAGGACTTTAAGATGCATTTTTCCTTTTCCTGTGTCTTTATGTCATTGCTGTTCCTTATACTGTAAAGTCATTTCCATCCTGCTGCGTTTAAAGCTATTGTTTTTTCTTTAGCTTTCAGCAGGTTTTTGCAAAAACAGGTTGCCTTGTTTGTTTGCCGTGAGCAGAAGTGTTAACATCTGTCACAGTTGCAACATCTGTCACAGTTGCTGTCACAGCCCAAAATGTATTTCTTGGCCCAGAGACCAGTGTCTCTCTGGAAATTTTCCTGCTTCTCCAGAAAAGCACCTCACTTGTGAAGCAGGGCAGTTGGCTTTCCAGCATTTACTCCATATTTCTGGGTAACCTGCAGAAGGAGTTAGTGAAATGTGTTATGTGACTGATTAGTATGCTCTGTGCCACTGCCTTATGATACTACTTGTGTATTGATGAGTGGACAATTTTGTTACTATGATGTTGGAAGCAGATTTTTACACAGCCAATATTTTGTAATGGCAAGAAAATCATACAGATTTTGTTGGTAGTAGGAACCAGAAAACCTTCTCATACAAGCCAGAGAAGAAAAGGTTTCTACCAGATACCACTCCATCTCGCAAATTAACTTTTGTGTTGTGCAAAAACCTTACTTTAAAACAAAACTTTGTATCTCTCCTCTGTTTTATTATTAGTCCACCGACATGAGAAACTGGCATCTGGAAGCAGTGGGTAATGTCATGAGTATTCCTACAACTTTCAATCCTATAAGCAACAGTGTTGTTGCTGATGTCCAGGAATTACCCCCCTTTCTACACAATTTATATTGGGTGGCACCATCATCTTACTTAGGGAATAAGGTATATGATCCTTTCTGTAATATCTGTTAAAATTCTCCCATTATCAGCTCCAAACACACTTTTCTCTTATCTTTTTTATTCTATTTATAATAGCCAAATACAGGTGGGGCTCCCAGGTAGCAGACTATAAAGCATAGTTTATGAATTATAGTAGCTGGATTCATACAACATGCTAAGCCAAAACCAAACAAGTCATAGTATCGCTTAGAACAAAGTAAATTCAGGCAAAGTAAGTTTCTAGCAAGTGACAATCTGATACATCAACAAAAAGCCTTTTAATGACAAAGGATTTTTTTATTTTCTTGATTTCTCTGTACCAATATTGGAAATGCAGTTGAAGATATTGTGAAGACTAAATATCAGAATTATCTTACAGTATAAAATCCAATTTCTATATTTCCTGTAATTTGTTATTTAGCTTTCTTCATATGGAGGATATTTAAGCTATCAGCTGAAATCCTTTGGCTTACCTAGTGAAGGCATGGCTCTCCTGGAAAAAAGACCAGATGTACAGCTAATTGTAAGTCAAATAATATATATAAACACGAATGCATCATCTTAGCTTTAAAAATGTTTATCCTTTACCAGCACATTTTCTGTGCTTATGTGGTGCTTACTGCACAACCACAATGTGAAAGTATAAAAGTTTGAGAGGTCTTTATTTAAATATGTCATTTTGATGACTCTTGTTCTTTAAGTTCTGTTAATTGTCATGAAAATGCCTTACTAACCATTTTTAGAGGACATGGATTCATGATATGTGCTTGTCTCATCAACCCACTATAGTAGCAGTCTAACTGTGTTCTTTATCCTAGTTTTTATGGTTTCTTTGACCACAGGTCTTGGCATATTTATAATTTCTGATGCCCCATTAATGATCTTGATTATGATAGCCCGGTGGTTAGGGCTAGTATCTGATAAGCTCCTACAGTCTAGTTAATGCTGTTCATGCTTCCTTCCTTACATTGGCACTGCTCTCCATGGGCTTTTTAGTAGGGCTGTAATAGAAACTGGACATTGAGTTTCTGTGGAGGCACAAGTAAGCCTAGTGCTGTTAACCAAGTGCTGTGAACACATTATCCAGGTTATTTAAATGCATTGATCAATTGGTTATGTGCCACCATGACAATCTGTCCTTAGACTGATGAAAGACTCTCCTGGTCTTTCAAGTCTTCTGCCAGTGCACCCACCACTACTGTAACTGATAACTATCTAAGTTGTCTCTTCTCTTTCCTTTTCTGCTTCCCACCATTACAAACTTTTCCCCAAAATAATACACATTGGAATGGTGGTTTTCTTGAAGACCACTAGACTTGTTTTTAAAGACATGTTCCATAGTCTTTCAAAAGACAGTAGACTCTGTAGAAAGACTACAGTAGACTGCCTGTTGATTTTAACTGATAGAGCTTAGTTGCTGGTTCTGTCAAAATTAGTGGGTTATAGGCTTTCTGTTGCTTTGGCTGATGAGTAATTTAGGCCACACTTTCTATTTTTTTATTACTTTGGTGTGATGCCATTTTGCCCACTGTACCTTAATAACATTTTACATACTGCATAGATATCTCCTGTTAGTGTTGACTATGGCCACTTGCTGCTGGCATTGCTTTCTTTTGCAGTACTTTGAAATATTTATAAGCTGACATGGTGTTGACCAGAATTCTGCCAGTTTTCCCCTTTAACCCAAACGACAGACAAGTAAACCTCTTTCAAATAAACTAGAAATAGTAGAGTAACATATCAAGGAGGTGCAGGATTGGCATAGATGAAGGGGAAGGGGAAGGAAACTCTCTCAGAGCACCATATGAATTCCCTCCATCTCTTTAGTCAGTTTTCCTTGTCTGTCCCATCAATCTGTCATCTAAGCTATTTTTGGACACAGGTCTACTGTCTTCCAGTAAGCTGGCAGACCCGTGTTCATAAATAGCATGAATGAGAAGTTACCAATGCAGATCACCCCCAGGCTGAAGAGGGACATATATGGTCAATAAAGAAATGAATGTGTGAACTAAGAGTTTACTCTAATTTTGAGTTTCCCCAGCCTGGTAGCTTCCAGATACATTGATTGTTATAATTTCTGTTATAATTTCTAGCCAGCATGCCATAAACTATCCAGGTTCATCTCTGTCTAAACAAAGCCTTCACATTATTTATACTACTATAGATCTGGCTATCAAACTGATGTAATACTAAATCAAATTGATGTAATACTATGCTTATTCCCTTATTCTTGTTTGTTGAGATTTATTAATACTGAAAGTATTTCTAAAGTTAATACAATACTAAGAGTAAAAAACATTTCTGATACCACAAAGGTTAATACATTGTTAGTTACATGCATTTCCATTGGCAGGTAGCCATAATCATGCAGAAAGCATTATCCTAAGTTGCAGATATTTAGGTACATGATTTGCTGGGAGAAAGAGAATTGTCAATAAAGATGTCAATGCGTGATGAAATTCAAAAGTGATAATTATTTACCTCATATACAAGTAATTATATTGTTTCAATATTTTGTTTCATGTGGCTATCACTGTTGGCCTAGTATTTAAAAAGCTCACATTTTGAATCACATGATAAATCCATTTGGCAAGAAGATGGTGGGATATAAATTTTGAGCTAGTAACTTTAATGATGCTAACTCTGTGGGAAACATGCTAATTTGGTACATAGGTACAATATTGTACTGACATTCGATTTGAACTATTTTTGTACAGGGAAGGGAGATGAAAATATCCTATATAGATCCTAATAATCCTTTGCCAGACAAAATGTATTATGGATCAGTTCAATTAGTTGAGGTAAGAATGATGTTAACTCACTTTTGATAAGCTATGTCATCAAATATTTGCCTATTTTGATCTACAACAGAAAAAGCAAATGTACATGTTCCTGCTCTAAGGATAATTTCCAAGACTACATTTCTGAATATTCCATTGTCTACTGGGAGAAAAAGCTTATAAGCATGCATTAATTGTGCAATAAATATTTCTTTGACATGGTACATAATGAATCTTTATAGCGAGCTTATTATTCAGTAAATAATTGAGAATATTTTCTCAGTGGGAAAAAAAACAGCGGTGTGGAGCCCAAGATTAGTTTTCATGTGCTACAGAAAAAGATAGCAAGTTTATACTTGGAAGGGAGAACAACATTTTTAATCAGCATTTGGCCAGAGGGATAGCGTCCCTGGGTGCAGTGGGTCTTTGGGACTCTGGTGGAGGATTACTAGCTGTGTTGCATACTGGCTCAAGTCTCTTTCCTTCCACTTGCTTTGCTTCTATGTTGTAATTAATCAAAGATTTTAGAGACACTATATGTATCCAGTGCTTTATCTATTTACGAAAATATGCCTGTTGTGCTACCACGGAACTTCTCATGCCAGAAGACTTTCGGGGGAATATTGCCAGGAGCTAGATTGTAAAGATAGTTTGCTTGGTTACTTATGTGGATACATTTCTTCCTTCAAAACAGAAGAGCAGCATCAGATTATTCTGGCATCCAATAATTTTGTAATATGGTACAATAATGTGTTGCCTTGCAGTTAAGCAACTACTTGCACTGGTTACTTGAATAGTTAAGCCGAGTTCTTGGCTGATTCATGTTTAGACTTGAAAAATAAAGATATTTGGCATCATACTCTACCTTCAATTACAGATGTACTTGAAGATTGAGGCCATTCCAAACTGACATTTTGATGTATGAGACTGAGTTAAACATTAGAACTGAAGATAGGAATTTGAATCTTGCTCCAAAGCACCCTAGAAATGGTCTAACAAATGCCTTTTATTGTAGTATAAGTAAGGAATGAATAGCATTTAATGCAGTTTGCTATTCAAAATGAATAAGAATGGAACCTGTGGACAATATATGCATAGCATCATGCTATATAATATTTTAATATGTTGGAAATGGAAGATTATATACAGTTTTATTTTGCAACAATTTTCCCCTTCATATACCCAACGTATTTGATTCTCTCTGACTGATATGATAGAGAGTAACCTAATAAGATGTCAAAAAATGTTTCTGTTAAAGAACATTGTCTTCCAGGGCAGAAGCTTGATAGGTTAATTAGAGAAGATTTTTTTTTGAGAATTTAGTGATGGGTGAATGTGTGAATGGATTATTATCTTAGAGTGGGAGGGGTTTACGTCTTTTCATCTTTTGGAGGATATATTGGTGCAGGAGAGATATGAGTACATGAGACAATTGTGGAAGGTGCTGAGGAAGATGGAGATTATGGTATGACGGAAATAGCAGTTTGTGTACCATTCTTAGGCCAGTTTACCAGTCAAGGCAAGGAAGACTCCCAACAATTTTCTTTCTGCCTCTTTTCTCCTACTTACATACTGTATTTCCTGGGAGATTTGATCTAGGGCAAAAACTGTACTGGGCAAACTGTATAATGTCATCAGGACTAGGTTCTTCCCACCAGCTTTCCAAGTTTATGAGCAGAGACTTGAAGGGATTTGGAGAGGGCAGTTACAATTGGCAATCATGGGCCTGCCCTAAGTCCTCAGGATAGAAGAGTAGCAAGGAATACCTATTTCCAATTGTAAATGATTTATCCACTATACCTCTTTTTGGAAAAGACCAGCTTGGCCACTACATCTCACAAGCTGGTTCCCTCATGAATAGATTGTTATAATACAGGGAACCAATCTTCAATCATTTATATCCCAGTGGGAGCAAGTGGATTCCCCTCCCCTTGTTTTCTGAAGTAAAATCAAGATGTTTGTGTTGACATATATATCTCCAATTGGTTTGCATAAACCAGGGGTCTTCAAACTTGGCCCTTTTATGACTTGTGGACTTCAACTTCCAGAATTCCTTAGCCAGGAATGCGGGCTGAGGAATTCTAGGAGTTGAAGTCTACAAGTCATAAAAGGGCCATGTTTGAAGACCCCTGGCATAAACGAAAGTGCTGTTGCTGCTTGACAACAAAACATTATATATATATATCCTGATCAAAGGCAATGGACCGTTCTGGCTGAAATTCAGGACCCCCCATTTCTTCATCAGGAGGAGAAGGGAACCACCACCACCCCGACTCGACAGGAGACGATGACCCACCTGCCGTGTGGACCCCGGACTCCAGCGCGGAGACGCTGGGGAGGGGAGTGGGGCAGGCTGAATGACCTGCAGGAGGATGTGCAGACGGAGGACGCTGACCGCAGGGAGGGGGGGAGAGTTGCGATCGCGGCTCCGAGCCTTAGATCCCAGACACCAATGCGAACGCATCGGGGAGGGGAATGGAACAGACTGAATAGCCCATGGGACAGCGGGCGAACGGAGGACGCCAGTCGAGGGGAAGTGAGGAAGATTGCGAGGAGTGGAGAGAGTTCCGAGAGG